CTCTTGTGCTATCTTTGGCAGAATATAAAGCCAGCAGAGAATGGGAAAATCATATTTGCAGGGTCCCAGCCCCATATTACGAAGCAGAACATAAATATTGGATTTGGAATTGGCAGATAAAACATCATAACTGACCCAAGTGGTAGATAGTATGAAAGGTCCAATGTGTGTTCACTCTAGGTTCTAGAAGGAAAGCAGCAATGCATTGAGGAAAACTAACAAGTCCCATAGCTGACAAAGTGTAAGGTGTGTCTGCAGTATTATGAGTATCTAAGAGTATTCAACTTATCCATAGAAAATAAGAGAAATGAGCAGACAGGCCAGTAGCCTGTGAGACACATGAGCCAGTAGACTGCGGAGAGGAAATGGGAGCATCAGAGGTATTCAGTATTCATGAAGTATTCAGTATTCATGAGGCATTCAGTATTCATGAAGCGTTCAGTATTCATGAGGTCAGACAAAATTATCCACGGGTTATTGACTTCTATTTTGGCCCTACTGTTTTCTGCCTGGGACAAGCAGATAAAAGCCCTAATTCATTTAATCTATTAGAGTTAGTCAAATTCTCAACGGAGTCAATTTTAACATCTTACCACTTCCCTGATTAACAGATTTCATAAAGATTAACATAAAATCTTTGACCTTTGTTCATTAGAAAAATAATGGAGATTCCTATCTCTGCCCCACTAAGACAGCAACTTAGACATACTCTCATATACTTGGGTCTCCATGTCGCCCTGGCCTTATCACATTGATATTACCCAGACTAAATTCTGGGTTATTAAAGATGTGTGTTATCTTTCTTTCACTTTAGCTCTGTTTTTTTATTTTGAGATGGAGTCTCACTCTGTCCCCCAGGCTGGAGTGCAGTGGTGCAATCTTGGCTCACAGTGCAACCTCTGCCTCCCAGGTTCAAGAGATTCTCGTGCCTCAACCTCCTGAGTAGCTGGGATTACAGGTGCCTGCCACCATGCCTGGCTAATGTTTTGTATTTTTAGTAGAGATAGGATTTCACCATGTTGGCCAGGCTGGTCTCAAACACCTGAGCTCAGGCGATCCACCCACTTTGGCCTCCTAAAGTGCTAGGATTATAGGCGTGAGCCACCACGTCTGGTCTGACTTTAGCTTTTTAAGAACCACCACAAACTTACCAAAGTACTGATTTTTACGTTGTAAACCTCTTGTAAGATTTCCTAAATTTTGTTTCTCAATTTAAGCATCTCATGCAAGCCTGCTTCCCAGGTGGCAAAGCTCTGAGATATGGTATGTCTGGGAACTTTTTAAATTAATTTAGAATATATTTATTTAATGTCTGCAGCATAGCAGGCTTGTACCAAGTGAATATCCAGGAACAAACCAATGCCTCTCATCCCCTGATGTCTGCATTTCATAGGGGGACAAATAAACAAATGCAAATGTCGTTAATCAGTGCTAGGAAGGAAAATCAACCAGGGAGAACAACATAAGATTCAGCGGATGTATAAAGTACTTGTTTCCACAAAAAATGCATTTAAAATGACTAAGGAAGTAAATGATTGCAATTTTAAAACCTTCCTGATATTTTTCTTATTTTCTTTAAATTTACATTTTACAGCACTAAAAGTTGTTGCTTTTGTGTGAAAAAAATCCCATGAGTACTTAAGAGTACCAAATAAATGGCATTTTAAAAAGTCTGTGCTAGCACTTTTAAAATCTTCTTATGAACATTTGTAAACATACAATTACCAACACTTGGCCGGTATTGTTTCATCTGGATCTTCTTGTCTTCTCCATTAATGGAGCTCCCTGTCCCTGTGTTTTTTGTTGTTGTTGTTTGTTTTTTTGAGATGGAGGCTCGCTCAGTCGCCCAGACTGGACTACAGTGGCGTGGTCTTGACTCACTGCAACCTCCGCCTCCTGGGTTCAAGTGATTCCTCCTGCCTCAGCCTCCCGAGTAGCTGGGATTACAGGCGCATGCCACCACGCCCAGCTAATTTTTGTATTTTCAGTAGAGACAGGGTTTCACCATATTGGCCAGGCTGGTCTTGAATGCCTGACCTCATGATCTGCCCGCCTTGGCCTCCCAAAGTGCTGGGATTACAGGTGTGAGCCACCTTGCCTGGCCTCTGTGGCTGTTTTAAGGCCATCTCAGACACATCCTTTCCTCTGTGGTGCCTTCAGTTTGTGAGTGTGATGAAGTCCATGAATATCCTATTAGCCAGATGTTAGCACTTCTATAAGCCAAATATTTTAGTATTTCTATATTTTCTTTTTTGTTACCCTCTCCTTTTCCATGTGGTCTTCCAGTGGTAAGTTCATTCCATTATTTAGCTCATCTGTTGTGTTTACTCCTTCAAATTCTGCTTGGTTCTGTTTTCTGATCTCTTTTAGGCTGTTTAATTCCTGGACTGTGTTCTAAAATGTTAGAATCTATTGTCATAGAATCTCTATGCAGTATTACCATTTTGAGCTTGATATAGTTGTGCTCTTCAGATTTCTCATTTCTCCTTATGAGGTCATTTTCCCCTGGAGGCACTGGCTGCTTGGCCCGAAGGTGGGATGAGGGCATAGTGGGAGGTGGGCCAGTAGAAACCCACACTCACTCCTCATCCCTCAGGTCTGGCCTCACAGTTTTTTCTCTTGCAGCTGTACTAGACAGACCAATCTCACCAGTCCTGGAGGGTGGGATGGGGGAGGCACCTGCCAGAGGCTGATTAGTTCCCACCAACTCTCAGTCCCTCACCAGCACAGGGCCTTTGCACTGCCTTGATCTGTTCCCAGGGACATCTGGGACCCAGTGGTGTGCTAGTACCTGCTAAACAGACTACCCTGCTCCAGTGTATGCACATGTGTGTGTACATAAGCTTACTGTACATGTTACAGATAGAAAAGGAGCAGCAACTTAAAAACATGCATAACATATACAGTACTGTTGTAAATCCCACAGAGCCAGTTTTTATGGAATGATTTCACTGAGTCTTGCTGAGCCCTACATCTGAAGCCAACACAGGGTTGCAGCTGATGAATGAGTATGGTTCTGACAAGAATGCTGGGGAGGTTTTCACTGATGAGTCAGACAAAGGCGAAGCAGCAGGATGGATGTCAGAGCTTCACTCCTTCAGTGACGGAGTCACTTCTTTGCTTAAGTAGGTAACAGTTTCCAGAGGCTGTGAGACAGTTTCTTCAATTTTCTGTGCCATTCACAATGTAACAGCTACATTTTCAGTTTGATCTGCATCTTCCTCCATCACTTTCTAGGTCTAGAGATAATCACAACAGTGAATCAAACCGAGTCATGGTGTCTGTGGGTATCAGTGGTGTGAAAGCTCCCACCACAACTGACTCCAAGCTACTGATGTGAGTCCCCAAGTGCAGCCTAGGAGGGGTGTGCCCACCATTGCAGAGTATGTGCACGGTAAGAATACAGATTGTAGTAAAATGCAGCAAAAGGTAGGAAGTGACGAGTTTCGAGTATTTATTACCTTTGTTTTTAATATAATTCTAAGTTTATAAAATGTAACTTTAAGTAACAGCTGTGTTCACCTACTGACAGGCCAGGTTCCTGGCACGGCAGCCTCTGGCAGTGGCACGCCAACACCTGGTCCAGTGTTCCGGGCTCGCCAGGCCCCTCTGGCTGACCATCTGCCTTGCAAGCCTTCTCCGTGAGGCCACCCTGATCCCAGGACTTACCACTGCAGCCCGCCCCACTGCACTATCCTCACCTGCTTTTTTTTTCTTCCCAGGCACCATTCCCTGACACTGGCATCTGGTGTGTTGTTTTCCTGCAGAGCAGCAGCTGTTTGGGGGAGTCTGTGTTGTGTTCACCAACATGTTTCAAGCACCTGGAACAGTGCATTCCGGGTTGGCCTTCATTACGCATGTACTGAATAAAAGCTCAAGAACCTCAACATTTACAGTCAGGCTCTACGAGATTCACTATACAGTATCTCGTAAAAAGCAAAACTTTCATCTTACTTGGTCAAATTCGGGACATTTCCCCAATTCCATGATAGAATAATGAGTCCGAGTATTCCATCCGGTGTGGCCAAGGCAGCTCCCGAAGAATCGCTGTTCAAAGGATTTACTCGTCAGGGAGAGGGTTCCCTTCGTTCTTTTCTCTGAAGCTTGTTTTTGCTGCAACATATTTTAACGTTTTTATTGTGGGAAAATGAAATAGTTTCAAAATTGATGCAAATGAGAAAATCAAGTTATCTGTCTGTAATAGTGCTTTTATTATTTGTATGGTGCTTTTGACTTTTCAAAATATTTTCCTAAATTTTTCATTTAATTGTAGAAACATGAGACAAATGGATATGCTTTTTAAAAAGGAACACAAAATCAAAACCATCCCAAATCCCATGTTCACAGACCACGGCCAGACTCCCTCCTTAGCCAGCCTGGCCCACCTGTGCTTGTACAGTACATGAAGCATATATACACTGTCACAGCCACGACACAGAAATGCCGCTTAGCTGCCAACTTTCCACTTAATTTATTGTGACTGTCCTTCCAGTGTTGTAACTAGAAATACCATAGTTCTATGGTGGCACTTAGCACCTGTTTTTTTCACTGCACCCCAGCACCCGTGTCACTGTTGCCTCTTGTTGAGTGTGTAGGTTCTTCCTGTGTTCTATCCGCAAGTAACGTGAGGGTAACGAGTAACATGGGCATGTGTTGTCATCCATTTTATATGCAGGATGACAGCGGGGCAGCTGCATACTTTTCCTCTATACCACCTTATATATAGGAGAGGTGCCAACATGCTCTCCAGGAAGACGGTGAAGAAGTCAAGAATCTAACAGGGGTGGGGACTGAGGGGAGACTGTCCCAAGTTGGGGAAATGCAAGTAGCACTGGTGCAAGCACAGCAGGTGCAAGACGAGGTAGAGTCAGTGCTGCAGCTGTTGGGCAGGACTCAGCCACCTTTTCAGGTTATACACGTGGGCATCCTTCCCCAGGCCTGCTAGTGGAGCTGAGGGCAGACATAATTTGAAAGGAAAAGAAAGTCTCAGCAACACCAGAGGAGTGAAACATTTTCTTTTTATTGAGAACATCTCAAATCCTTTGTCTGTATTTGACAGCGTCTCATGCTCAGTTCCGGCTGGTCTCGGTGCGAGAGGAAGCTCATGCAGTTGTAACGTGTGGTGTATACACAGATTTACATACAGAGAACACTGAGGATTGCATCTTAGCAACACGTTTCTTGGCCGAATTACATTCATAGAAAGTGTCCAGATTCTAAAATCAAATTAAAAGCATGTAACCCAAAGCCTGAAAAAGCAAACAGCTTTAAGGGCTGACTCCATTAGCGTTCCATAGACTGTGCTTTTAAACGTTCAGTTCATGTTTAATGGCCCATCGGTTCCTTACACACCATTAGCTTATGCTGTGGCCAGAAGAAGTGTTCTTGAGGCTTGGTACTCGTCCCTTCAGACAGTAAACAAGAAAGTGCAGACGGTGCTGCCAGAGACAGGAGGATTTTCACACGAGACTGAAAAAGCCAACACATCCTTACAACTAAAAGTCATGGTCGAGTTGGACCTGCCATCCACCTCCACCGGTCCCTGGCACCCGGTGGGTCAGAGGTTTCTCTAATTCTATTCCCTGGCATCAGTTGAACACTAGAACTCACATGGAAGGCCCCGAGCAACCCACTGGCCTTGAGGCTGGGTGCACCCACTCCTCACCCAGGGAGATTGTCACAAAACACACTAAGGGGCAGAGACGCTGTAAACTGGACACACACGGAACACAATGCCCTCTCCACTTACACAGTGTGGGGCTGATAAAAAGGAATCTTTTGAGCGACTCTATAATTTTACAGAATTTAGAGGTGGGAAAGATGGCCAATTTTCCTTCTCTACGCCTGGGGCAGACCACCTGCTTCTGGGGTAAAGTGTTTGAGAAGGAAAAAGAGCCACTGTGCATGTGTTTGTTTTGAGACACGGGCAGATCCAGATGTGCCCTCTCCACAGCTTCGCTAATCCCATCCTAAGATCTCCGCACAATGTGAAGACAGAGCCGTCCCCTCCTCAATGTACCTGTGTGAGATTACAAGGAGAGGCACTGTCTTCACGAAGAAAGCGGCAATTCCACAGCCCGGAGATAAACAGTTATTTGAATAAAAATAAATTCCGCAGAAATCCATGCCTTGTGAGATACTGGCTTGCACATTTTAAAATAATTGCTTTTAATTACAAAAATTTCTCAAAAATAGGAAAAGATGATGAAAAGTTTACATTAAGACTCAGAATCAAAACTGCAGTTCTTTGGCGTCCCTTGCTGGGAAGAGGTGGGCCTGGCCTGTGACCAGGTGATGAGAGCTGAGGAAGGTGGTGACGACATCTATCTGGACCTGTCCCTGCCTCATGGCACAGAACACACCGCCCCACCTGAGACCTCCCACTAGCAGGACTCTGTCCCTGGCAGAGCTGTACCTGAGTGGTCCCGAGGGACAGTGTCTTTGTGGAATTAATACTTCAGGTTTAGCTAACAAAACAAAACAAAACAGAAACCCTCTCTTCCCCTACTTGTCAAAATGTCCTCAAAATGTAAGATTTTCCTTAAAAAATCAAGTTCTTGTTTGTGTCGAATTTTCTGCTAAGTCTCTAAAACCCACATCAAGGACACTGGATGCAAAATGACACGTCAATGAAACAGCTATAGTCTAATGCACACCGAGCGCTCAGAAGGGAGGGATTAAAGTGCTAAGTTTCCTAATCTGTCTCAGGGAGGAGTCAGCATTCTGTATTATTATTTTTTTCTGATTACAGATGAGCTGTCATAGGAGCAGTGCAGAGCCTCTGGTCCCCTGCACATCATCTTCCTCCCCGCAGCCGCCCCGCCCAGGGCTCCCGGAATCCAACTCCTCCCCGCAGCCGCCCTGCCCTGCCCAGGGCTCCCCGAATCCAACTCCTCCCCACAGCCGCCCCGCCCAGGGGCTCCCGAATCCAACTCCTCCCCCACAGCCGCTTCCCGCCCAGGAGTCTCCGAACCCAACTCCTCCGCAGCCGCCCGCCCAGGGTTCTCGAACCCAACTCCTACCCACAGCCGCCCGCCCAGGGCTCCCCGAACCCAACTCCTCCCCCACAGCCGCTCCCGCCCAGGGCTCCCCGAATCCAACTCCTACCCACAGCCGCCCCGCCCAGGGCTCCCCGAACCCAGTTCCTCCCCACAGCCGCCCCGCCCAGGGCTCCCCGAACCGAGTTGCCTCGGCTGCCTTCCTCCTGCCTGGACGGCTTGGGGCGGGACGCCCTGTGCCTGCCCTCAGGGCTGCACGAGTCCACCCCGGAAAGGAGCCACCTCACACGGTCTCAGGGCCGCTGCTCAGGCCCACAGGCTGAGGCACTCACTCACTTGGCGTGGTACAGGGAGCAATCATGCTTACTTTAGCTATTACCTGACAGAAGGGAAAAGCCAGACATACTGGGTAGTTTTGTATGTATATGGAATATATTAATACTAAACTTGGTAACCAAAATCCACATATTTTTAAAAACTTAGTCCATCTCCCAATCCCCATTAGAAAAAAATACAATTTATCAAGACAAGAATAAAAACGCACAGACTTACAAGGTGTTTTTTCTAGAGTGTGCAAGAGCCTACTTGGGGGAAGGCCAGCGGCAACAGACACCTCTCCTTCTGCAGGTGCAGAACCCCAGCACCGTCTGCCCAAACAAGACCCCACTGTGGTGACGGAGTGGCTGAGATGCCCACTCTGACTGCTTCAGGGAGACAACTACCCTCTTCGGTAGAGGAGAAGGCTGGTGTGGGGCAGATGTTCTAGCCTCTGAACCTGCTCACGTCCCCAACGATGAGCCCTAAGCAGCACCTCTTCCTGCCACGCTGGGACGAGATCTGTGTGGACACACATGGATAGGGCTCCCGACATCAGGAGGCACACCCCCCACCAAAGCCACAGTGATTCAGGTTTGGGTCTGAGCGCCCAGCGTCTGGTGGGAGCACGATGCCCCTCTGCCCCTGTTCTAGTTTCCTAAGCCCATCACAGACATACAGGTGCCAACACCCTGGATTTCACTGTGGCAGGTGTATGCTGTAGGGTAGTCTGCACCAATCTCTGCCCATGGCCCCAGGAGACCCACCTGAGCACCGTCCAGAGCCTTGGATCTGGGCACTGCACTGGCGAGCAGAGCACTTCTCTTGGCTCCTCTTTCATCCTGAGCGGAGGCAACAAGGCACCGGGTGCAAATCTCTGAGCTCGGTGGAGGTGGTCCACACAGGGCCCTCGCCCGCCACGCTCCTGACCTCCTGGGCTGGCTCCCTGCTATCGTGGGGCTGTCCTGTGCACTCTGGGTGCTGGGCGGCCCTGAGCTCCTCTGTCAGGACCGTCAATGTCTGGTCTACACTATGCCAGCAGCACGTGGTCTCACCAGCTCTCACTTGGATGCTTTTTATTTTTCAAACATGTCTTTGATAAAGCTGGAAACAATAATTTAAAAACATGCCTGCTATGGCATTTTCCAAGAATGATTATCTACTGAAATCATTCTACTTCCATTCTGTGAAGGCCTTTGGGCAGTCATCCACATCCATTCAATTCGGAGGAAGGAACAGAGGGAACTTAGGCCATGTATTGTGCAGTAGCCCTCCTGATTCCTTCTAGTCCATAAAAGTTAAATATCCTTTAAAAAACCTGAATGAATGGCCAGCCCGGGGTTACTGGCCATGTTTTATCTGTGATTACTTAGAAGTAAACTGAGAAAAGTTTTCCATGATCTGATCCTACAAGGAGTACAGAAGCTTCTAGAGGAGGCTGAGGGCTACAGGGGCCTGGGTCACGACTCTGCAGGACACACAGTCACCACTGCGGGGCCCCGTGTGCGTGACAAGGCCACGCTACCTCATGCTGGGAGTCTGCTCCTCAGGGAGACTGTTAAAACCTAGTGTGTCAAACTACCCAGGGAAGTACCTATGGAGAAAAGAGACCTAAGTTTAGACAGACGTATGGCGATTTCCTTTAGACTACTACTTCCTACCTCTATTTTCCCACCCTCCTCCATATATAGATGCTTTTCTTGCAATTAAAATAATGTGGCATAAAAGTGACCTGACATAATTACTTATTTTATAAACCACATTCCTAGCTCTGAATAAATTATTTATTCAAGAATTTCACACAAAGTAATTTCTATTTTCCTAAACTTAAGGAAGCCCTACTCAGTAGAACTCAATTTCTAAACGTAAACCGAGATTGAAAGCAGTCACTGGACGGTTCAGAAGGGGAAATGCTGCGGCAGAGAGATGCCAGGCGGCGATGCTGGGCCCCGACACACCCCATCCCCTCCCCACACTGCGCACCTGCCCCAGATCTGATGTGAGATGCTGGGGACAACCGTGGACACCTAGTGGTCCCCTGTGTCCCCCAACTCCTTCCCCAAGGTATGCACCTGCCCCCAGTTCAGATGTGAGGTTCTGGAGGACGACGCTGGATGCCCACAGCCCCCTGCACCCCCCATCATGTCTGCCCGGGTCAGGGCGTGAGTGAGAACTGGTCCTGCTCAGTGGGCTTCTCCACCCAGGCCCCCAGCCCCGCCTTGATGAAGGCTGTGAACAGACGCGCCTTGGCGGCCTGGTACTCCTTTGCCGCCAGCTTGGACTCATGGTACATGTTGGGCTTGGTAATCTTGGAGCGTAGTAAGTGGGAGGGAACCTGTGAAGGGATAGAAAACAAATGCAACTGTTGACGGTGTAACAGATAAAAATAACACCTAATAAGATGCCAAAACATGGCCTTTAGAACTGCATTGGCTTCTGTGGTGAAGCAACCCAGAGGAAGGCGCCTTCTGCCAAGGGCACGGCTCCACACAGAACAAGGTGCCGCACCTCCTGAGGCCTGAGTTATCGCCAGGGCGCGGCTTCACACGGAAAAAGGTGCCGCACCTCCTGAGGCCTGAGTTATCGCCCAGTTCCAGTCTTGCTAGTCAAACAGGCAGCTACAGACCCCCGAGTTCTGAAGACGTGCTTCTGGGAAACCACCAATAGCTGATTCAAGTTTCATTTTTAACTATAAGAAGCACCACTGATGTTACGTGTGTGTTATCACCCTGATGACCTCGGAGGCCTTCCCTCGTGTGACCGGTAGCTCCTTTCTGTGTGGACTGTGGCTTTGGGGCAGCTGGCCTGGGTGCTGCCCCTGTGTGAACAGGACCCTCCTGGGCACTGTCACTTCTGGCTATACCTCCCATGCCAGTGCACAATGCTGGTCTCAGAATAAATAGATGCTATCTACTTGATTGAAGAATAAATACAAACTAGTAATATCCTGACTTACTATATAAGGTTTCATTCTGGGGAAAAAAGGGCCCCACAGCTAATTCAAAAGGTTTAAAAACTTTCATGGAGGGTTATCAGAATCCAAGCAATTTTTGTGTTGCTGAGAAGGAGGGGACAGCAGGGAGACTGGCATAATGACTTTCAATATCTGAGAGTAAGAGATGTTTCCACCACACACAGTGGCCTGGCAGTGGGTGTTACTCTGCAGAAGGGAGGAAAAGAGCTGCCTTTGAGATGGCACTAAGGTTTCAGGGACATGGCCACACTTCTAAGCTAACACAATCTGAAGGAACAAAAGGTTTCCAAATGATCAATTTAGGAAGCTGTGCATGATGACATGATGAAACAATTTAAGGAGCAGTAGGTGTGAGGACAGACAAGCTATTAGGGAGGTGGAGCCGGCGCATCACGGTGAGGGCGCCTCAGTACCTTGCCGTGCACACGCATCCAGCGACAGTACAACGCGTGCTTACACAGGCGGGACGCGCGGCCCAGCTCATCCTTCCCCGTCGTGGCGTTGATGACCTCAATAGCAGAGTCGCCTACCGTCCAGTTGACGCTGAAGTTGGGGGCCTTCCCTGGCTGCCGTGCTTCTGCATTGCTGATGCCTGAAACGGAAGGCACAGGAAGGCGGTGTGAAGCCCGCGTTCACCCCCAGGGAGGGAGCAGCCAGGGGCGGCACACTGTGCTCAGACATGGCCACAGAAGTGCGTGGTGGAGGAATTCTGCCTGCTGAGGAACATACGCAGACTTGAGTGTGCATCTGCCGTGGCAGTGGCCTCACACTCTTCCACTGCCACCAGAACAGAAGCAGTACTGAGAAAGCCGAACTGACCCATGGGTATGCACTTGTCTGACAGGGCAGGTGGGCAGAAGGTTGACAGAAACCTGGAATCATGAGACTTCCTGACAAGTGTGTCTTTTCTCACTCTGGTGCTGCCTGAGAGTGGATGGATGGAGCCACTTCTGAGACTAATGCAGGGTCCTACGAGGTCGTGCATGTGGGGGCTGCTCCTGTGTCACCCACCTCTGGCACTCATGCCCGCACATGCTCCCCTGCCACTGAGAGGCCAGGCATGTTCAGGTCACGTGGCTTTGCACGTGTGACATCCATGATGCAATAGGAAACCCTAATTCTTAACAAGTGTCTCGAAATGGTTCACAAGGGTCTTGAAAAAGTTCATAGAAAATGCGTATTATGAAAAAACTTCACGGATTTCAAAATTGTTTGGCACCCAAATAAACTTGTACTAACTTGCTGAAACATGTCTGAATAGGATCTAGTTTGAGGCACTAAGAAGATGAAGACATCTGTTTGAAAAGAGCTCCTATCAGAGTTACATGACTTCGGCTAAAATTGAAGCAAGAACAAACATCAAACAGGAGATAAAAATAGCTTTTACAAAGACAATCCTGAAGAAAATGCATAATCCCCCCTCAAAAAAGGCTACCAAGAGGTGGAAGGGCCCGGTCAGGGCACAGGCCATGGCAGCATTTTTGGGATGCTCAAGGCGTTCTGCTTGTCGGGTTCACATGGAGGCCAAAGGACAACATCTGCTTACGATGACAGTGTTTCGAGAAAGTGAGCCAAAGCTTTAGCAGAAAAACCCCTGGGGAAGCTTCACCAGCGACCATCATGACAAAGCGCCTATCCATTCCTGTCATCAAGCAAGGGCGACTGTGTGAGGGTTTCGACAGGAAATCATGAGCCATCCACTTTGTGGTGGTTGCAAATCCACCTCATTTGGCTCCTTCTGACTTCTTTTTGTTTCCTAATCTCAAAAATTCCTTAATTTTAGGAATTAAGGAATCAAGGAATGTAGGGCACCCTTTAGGGTACTCCTTGAGGAATTTTTCTTCAGTTAATAATGTAAGAAAGTCTGCATTGACATGGTTAAATTCTCAAGACATTCAGTTCTGTTTTTCTTTTTGAGACGGAGTCTCACTCTGTCACCAGGCTGGAGCACAGTGGTGCAATCTCGGCTCACTGCAACCTCCACCTCCTGGGTTCAAGAGATTCTCCTGCCTCTATCTCCCGAGTAGTTGGGACTACAGGCACATGCCACCGTACCCAGCTAGTTTTTGTATTTTTAGTAGAGATGGGGTTTCACCATGTTGGCCAGGATGGTCCTGACCTCATGATCCTCCCACCTCGGCCTCCCAAAGTGTTGGGATTACAGGCATGAGCCACCGCGCCCAGCCACCATTTAGTTCTTTAGGGACAATCTAAATGGTTAGGATCAGCGCTTACAAAAATGTCTGGAATTTGATAGAGCTTATGTTGATAAATAAAGTTTATATCTTTTAAAAAATTTTTATCTTTTAACTTTATGAACTTTTTGAAGTACCCTTGTACTTGTTTTCTTGCTGTGTTTAAACTGTCTCATCTTAACTAATCACAGGCTAATTTTGCAGGGTTGAAAGTTTTTGAAAACATACTTGTATAACTGGGAACTGAATACATGTATCTCCATTTATATATTGAGCTTGATAATTCATATCACATGGATGTCATAGGCCACCAAAATCAAAACTAGTTTAGGATATGAATCTTTAGAACATGCTTAGAACATGGGCGGACTCATATTCTGAACCCAGACACTGAACTGTCAAGCCCACTGGCCAGAAGCAGCACACTGCACTCTCAGATGACTCAGTACAACTCACTTCATGCCCTGTGGAGGCCACCTCCACCCTGCCACCATGCTCACTTGCTTTCAATGACCATTTATCCCTCCCTTGGAGAGATATTAAAATCCAGATGACAGTTTACTGCCAGAACAGTTTACTGTTCAGAGTAAGGAACCGGCAGAGTGTAGCAGATCCCCTGAATTGAGAGTCAAGGGAAACCAAGTCAGCCAGATTTCATAAGACAGAGTACCAGAAGGAAGAGAAATGCAGAGAGAGAGTGAACCCTGGAGATACTCAGAGAGCCAGATTTCATAAGACAGAGCACCAGAAGGAAGAGACAAGCAGAGAAAGAGTGAGCCCTGGAGATACGCAGAGGGTGTCCTTGAATATCCTGTGGATCTCTGATCAGAGTATGCATGTTACTCAAGGCTGGGAAACAGCCTCCTGAGAGAATCAGAGGAAAAAGTGCCTGACATTCACATACAGAAGATACAGACATAAAGATATAAAAAGGCCTAAGCCAAACTTCTAGAGATGAAAACTACAATGTATTAGATAAAAAATACACTTGATGGGACTAACCACAGAATAGAAACCGCAGAAGAAAAGATTAGTGAACTTAAAGACACAGTAACAGAAACTATCAAAAATGAAACACAAAGAGAGAAAAGAGAGAAAAAAAGAAGAGAAAATCAGTGATATGGGGCAGGTTTAGGTAGGGTGAAATATGCGTAATTAGATTTCATGAAGGTGAGGAGGGAGAAGGGGGAACAGAAAATATATCTGAAGAAAGATGAATAAAAAACTTCCAAATTTCATGAAACCAACCAACCCATGGATTAAAGAATTTCAATGAATCTCAAGCACAAGAAACATGAATAAAACTATACCAAAGCACAACGGAACAAATTGTTCAACACCAGTATTAAGAGAAAATCTTAAGCAAACCCAGAGAAAAACACACACAGAGGAATAAAGATAACAACACATTTCTTACTGGAAACAATGCAAACAAGAAGTTAGGGAAGCACTGTCTTTAAAGTACTTAAAGGAGAAAAGGACCCTGCCATTCCAGCAGAAATATATTTGTACAGCAAAATGTACTTCAAAATGAAAGCAAAATACTTTCCCAGACATACCAAAGCTGAAATAATTCATCATCATCAGACTTGTGCTACAAGGAATGTAAAAGGAAGTCCTCCAGCCAGAAGAAAAAATGATACCAAAATGGAAATCCAGATCTATATAAAGGAATGAAGAGCCCTGGAAATGATAGCTATGTGGATACATATACAAGGGGTTTTTTTTCTTATTATTTAAATTCCTTTAAAAGATAATTATTAAGATGAAAATAATAATAATGTAATGTGGATTTTTTTAAACATATGCAAAAGTGTCTGAAAACAATACCACAAAGGTTGGGAATGGAAAAACGGAAGTATACTGTTGTAAGGTTCTTTTACTATATGTGAAGTAGTATAATATCACTTGAAGGTAGACTGTGGTAAGTTAAGAATGCATCCTATAAACCCTAAAACAACCACCAAATTAACAAAAGTTACAGTTCAAAAGTCAAGAAGGAGTCAAAATGGAATCATCAAACATACCCAGTTAAGGCAAAAGCAGTAAGAAAATGAGGAAAAAGTGAACAAAGAACATATGAAACACACAGAAAATAAGTAGCAAGATGAAATTTAAACCTAATAATATAAATAATCACAATAAATGTAAATGCTTTAAGTACCTCAGTGAAAAGGCAGAGATTGTCCATGGTGGGAGAGAGAAGCAAGATCCAAATATATAACTATAGTAAATATATGCCTATAAGAAACATATTTTTAATATAAAGTACTTTAAAGGGATAGAAGATACACTGTGCTAACACTAATCAAAAGAAAGTCGAAGAGGTTATATTAATCTCAAAGCAAATTTCAGAACAAATACTGTTACCAGAAATAAAGAGGGTCATCGTATAATAGTAAAGGAGGTCAGTTTATTAAGAGAAATCAACAATCCTAAATTTTTATGCATCTAATCACAGAGCTACAAAATACAGGAAGTAAAAACTCTAAAAAAGGGGAAGAAATAAACAATGTATAATTATAACTAAGAGATTTTCAATCCTGCCTCTCAATAACTGATAGACCAAGTAGAAGATTGATAAGAATATAAAAGAAAATAAATAATATAAACAAACAACTTAGCCTAATTAACATTTATAGATCATTCTACTTCAAAGTGGCAGATTCACATTCTTTCAAGTTTTGTGGAACACTTACAAAGATAGACCTTTTTTTTGGTCCATAAAACCAAGTCTAAACAAATTTCAAAGGACTGAAGTCATTCAATGGAACTAAAAAACCAACAACAGAAAGATCTCTGTAAAATCCCTAGTATTCTGAAACTAAATAGCAGACTTCTAAATAACCCAAGGGACAAAGTATTTTAATATAAGTGAAAATGAAAACATAACATGTCATAATTTTTAAATGCTACAAAAGCAGTAAAAAGGGTCTTAAAACAATGACTTCAGCTAGCACCTTAAAAAACTACAAAAAGATGGGCAATTGAAACACCATGTAAGCAGGAAAAAAAGAAATAATTAAAATCAGAGTAAAAATTATTGAAATATAAAACAAAAGACAAAAATCACTGAACCTAAAAGTTGGCACTGAGAGATGATAAACAGAATTGATAAACTTCTAGCTAGACTGATCCGGAAAAAAAACAAGAGAAGATACAAATCATCAATATAAGGGATAAGACGATATCATTAGAGATATCACAAATATTAAAAGGAATATTCTGAATAATGCCAATATATTAGACAAATTAGATGAAATGGACAAATTCCCTGAAAGACAAATTACTGAGGCTTACTCAAGAAAAAAGATAAAAACAGATAACATGAATAGCCCTAAATCTATTATAGAAAAACAAATTGTAGTTAGATATTTTCTCACAAAGCAAACTTCAG